AAAGAGCATAACTTTCTTGTGTAAGCTTGAAATGCATTACACTGCATTTACAATCAATTAATACATATTGATAAGAGATCATTTATAGGTCCATTAATATCTCAAATATGAAAGAATTTTCAGATATGAAATCTAATTTACTGTCCCACAATTCATAGAATTCAAGTTTTTGGTGTTGACCGCAACAGGATAAATGCATTTTCCTTCTGGGCTTGACCTAAACTATGATCTTTCTGACCCACTATGCAGGTACATTTTATACTTTTTTGACTTTCACTTACTATTTAGGATGACTCTTTCAGAATAAAGATGAATATGTGCAATTACTTGTTCTATTGAACAATATGAACTATTTGATCTTATGTCAGGAATAGGGTGATTAAGTCACTTATCCAATAACTTCCTTGCAAAATGACTCTCTCAACTACTTTCACTGTATCCAATACCATAATATTTAAAAATGTGTTCTAAAAATTTTCCCATACCACATTGAGTGTAGTCCTGAATAATTTCTCCCCCCCTTTTAAGTCCAATCCATGTGCTTCAGAATGATAATAAAAAAAAATCCATGTTGGTGCATGTTCTTGCACTAGATCACACTACTAGTTCAAGATCTTGCACTATCATACTACTAACAGGGCAAGATGCTAAAAATCCTGTGAGACCTTAATATTGGTGAATGTAACATTGAAGGCCAGGATATTCCCACATAGTAGTAGTGAACCCATCATGAGAACACATACTTTATGTAATTAAAGATAAATGTAAAATAAAGAACTTTCAGTCTGAAATAGATATCATGTGGTATAACCTGACAACTGTGTCTGTATTTGTGCATATTCTTAGAAAACACCACTTCACCTTTTAAAGGAGGCCTTGATCTCCTACCTGGAAATTTCAGATTGTTCTTTTCTTCATCTTTTTTAAAGCTAGATGAATTGTAAAGACCTTCTGTAAAAGCCATGTGGGTATTTGTGTTTCAGAGTACTAGTTCAGCCAGTTGACAACTTCCATTATCACAACTGGCAGACAAAGCTCGCTTCATTCTTGTTTGTTATCTTGTTTAATGTGCTGAGTAGAAATTGCCTAGGGAAAAAGCAGAATAAGAGGCCAAATACTGTGGTTCTACAATTTAAACATTTTGAATTTGGAAGAGTGTTGATCTTATTCTTTTGTAGTGGTAGGTATCATGCAGATGTGAAAACATGAGTTCACTATGAAAAACTTCAATTCTTGTGGAATTGTTGGGATAACTTCATCTTAAGTGTCAATCTTGTTTATTACACTTGTATTTTGTACTGAACACAGTAATATAAGCTTCTTCAGATTTTTTTTTTTTTTCAGTGCAGTTGATTGTGTAGCTGAAACCTCAAACTGCATCACTCCATATGTTGCTTTGTAAAAAAAAAAAAAAAATCCACATTAAGTGAACTGAGAAATGGAAAGTATAGGAGAAAAAAAATGAACTTCCCATATGAGATGTGAAATATCTCATAGTAGTAGTTTCAATACCTCTGCCATTGGTCTAAGCTGGTTCTAATGAATGAAGTCTTATATAAAATTAATTTCAACATATACCAGTTCTGTTTTCTGTACTCTTTGGGAAATATATTATACTAATTCTGGTTAATGTTTTCCAGTCCTCCTGTTACTCTGGCTTTCCTACAGCATTCTGACTTCTGTTTACCTAGCTTCACACCCCATATTCTGTTTTTCCAGTTCTGATTCTTTTTCACTCCTTTCAGCAGCTTCTAGCTAATCTCAAAACTGGAGATAGAAATGACCAGTTTCATTTCATGCTGCAATATGTTTTTCATCAGGTGCAACTGCTGCTATTTCTCCACACAGCTGACTTAGTTGAAATATCACTCTTCTTGTCCCAGTAGTGGCTAGAAGTGGTTGTAGAAATCAAAGGCCTAGTCTTTCATCTCTGTTTTTAAATTTTAAGTCCTCAGTTACAACAAAACAAGATAATATTGCATGACATAGGCTGTAAGTGTTAAGTGCTCTTAAAGTACTTAATGTATGTTGTATGGCAACAGAAGGAAATTTGTGGAGGGTTAATGGACTGCTTTCTCTCTGCAGAGTAACAGAATAGCTAGAGATAATGAATTAAGAGAAAGTGACAAGGAGCAACTTCGAGCTATATGTACACGAGATCCTTTGTCTGAAATCACTGAGCAAGAGAAGGACTTCCTCTGGAGCCACAGGTATTTAAAACCAAAAGCTAAACTAAAGAAAAGCCCTTGTTGGCACAATCAGCTTTACCCCATTCACTCCAAATTTGTCATGACTGTCTTGGATTTTGCTCCCTTTTCTATGCTCTGTATTGTTGGGTTAGTGTTTTAGAAAAGGCTTTTAAAGCATTCTGAATCGTATGTCTTAATTCATAAGCCCATGGGGAAAAATAAGTTGTTGAATTAGTTTACATTTTCACCATTACTGCAGTCTTACTTTCATGCATGGATCCTAACACCACCATATGGTATTGATTGTTTTCTGCTGACAAAGGAAGAAAATGTTCAAGACTGAGGGGAACGTAGTAGATGGTTATCAAAGCAAAAAGGGCAATTTGTACATACACCTTTTTTCTCTTTCGCAGACACTATTGCGTGAATACCCCAGAAATTCTGCCCAAATTACTTCTGTCTGTTAAATGGAATTCTAGAGATGAAGTGGCCCAGGTAACATATAGCACTGAAGAAATGTTAAGTTTTGAAGAAGCTTTAAAATACGGTATTTAGGGAAAGTTCTGGAAGTTTAAAACATGTTACATGTGCATAATACGTTGAATGAAAACCTGTCCAAGTTGCCATTATAATTGATGGATCAGACCGGTTTGTAGTTTTTGTTCTTTAGCTCAGTCTGAGTCTTAAAATTTCCTCTTGTGGCATTACCTGAATCCCTGTTATGTTGCTGATTTGTCAATTAGTTATATGTGAAGTTTTGTTTTCATTGTGTTTATAGTGGATAAAACGTCAGCTGGCAACTAATACCAAATTGTTTATTGAGAGAGGGCTGGGAAGTAAATAGCTTCTACTCGGATGCAGTTCATGTCTGACAATACCTTCTAGTAGCTGTGTATTACAGCTTCTTTGTAATCAATGCAAATGTGTAACGTGCTTGGACTTCTTGTCCACAGATGTACTGTTTGGTAAAAGATTGGCCTCCAATCAAGCCAGAGCAAGCAATGGAGCTTCTGGACTGTAATTATCCAGATCCAATGGTGCGAGCTTTTGCAGTTCGGTGTCTAGAGAAGTACTTGACAGATGACAAACTGTCTCAGTACTTAATCCAGCTAGTACAGGTATATGACATATTTTGGTACACTTGATGTCTTGTGTATATCTAATAATCACAGAGGCTTAAAATACAACAAAAGTTAAGGTGGTGTGAAAAACAGGTCATCAACAGTATGTTTCTATTGTGGATTATTTAGGAGGAGGAGATTAAATGTAGTTAATTTTCTGTAGTGCTGGGGTTTTGCATGTTGATACTAAATGCCAGGATTTTACAGAGATGCAGAACTGTTCTACCAGCTGGAACAGGCAACTCTTTCAGCTGTTCTAACATATGGGAAAGTATGAGCAGAAGCATCTTCTCAAAATTTCAAGCTAGTTGAGGCCAAAATATTTTGTAATAGTGAAGGGAGCATCAGATGGTAAGTTCCTGAAACAGGCAGCCAATGCACTGTTAGTAAATACTGTTCAAATTCAAACACATGCAAGTATTAATACGAGATCAGTCAGTCTACAGAAATTCATGTAAAACATAGATTTCTTCCTTTAATCTGTATTTTATTCATAGAAGTAACTGCAGCAGATTATTTTCATTCTCTTTATCCTTAACTAGGTTCTAAAATATGAACAGTACTTGGATAATCAGCTTGTGAGATTTTTACTCAAGAAGGCACTGACCAATCAAAGGATAGGACACTTCTTCTTCTGGCATTTAAAGTAAGCTTAATATGTTACGGGGTAGTGGGGTTCCTATTAGCTGTAAACAATTTATTGTTCTAAAGGCTTGGCATACTTTTTTTTTTTAAGAAAATATTACCACTTAGTTTGTTTCACATTGGTTAAAAGTTTGAGTGTAGAGTTTGGTAATAGGAGTCATCCTTTGCAGTTTCAAAAGCTAGTTAATAATAGATACTTAGTCTTCTACTTCTTTTTACATAATGATAATTATGCTGAAAGCAGGGTAATCCGATTGCTGGAGGCCTCCTATCCTGTCAACTATTTACAACCTTGAAAGATTACTGCTGTTTGAACTTTATTTTTTTTATCACTCACCAGTCTTCCAGAAAATTTTACAAATAGTTGAGGTCTAAAGAGAGACACCCAATTTGACCAGATAAGGCTTTGAAAAAATAATTCTTTGTACATGCTTATTAAAGACTTTATATAGCTTGATAGCTTAAATATCTATGTTCTTCCTTACTAAGTGCTACAAGGGCTTTTGTAATTCCTGGTGTTGAGAAGGCTGAGCATAGATCAGCCTACAGTATAATGGATTGTAGCTAGGTCTCACCTAAAAATGCTGTTCTAAGACAGTGTGATCAGACACAGAAATAGAAGAAGCAAGGAATCTTTGTTATGCTTTGTTTTCTATTTCCCTCGGTAATCATCAAAGATAATGGAATAAATTGTCTGATTAACTTGAGGGATGTATTTAAGAGCTGCAAAGAATGAGAGGAGGTAAGAACAAAGAAACTTGAGGGAGCACAGCCTGGGATTGTTTCATTTTCTCCTTGTCTTATTTAGGCAGATTAGCTTTGCTCTTGGCAAGGAAACCTGGAATGTGAATTGAAAGCTTGAGTTTCTGGGAAGCATGGGTTTTGAATAAAGGCAAGGAATAGTGGTAGAGAGGACAGAAAAATGAAGAAAGAATTGGGGGAAAAGCCTATGAACTCTGTGCTGAATTAGTTGTAAAAGGTACTGAAGTTGGATCAGTCTAGTCAAAATCAGATGAGCTGTGGGAGATTAGTAGAAGTTATTTACCTGAAAAGGATGGATCTATAAGCAGCTCTCGGTAAGATGTGTCATTGGGATGATACAGCTATAGCTTCATTTTTGGCACCTCTAAGTGATCTTGTCTTTAAGCTATTACTGTTCTTCCTCTCTGTGTAGGTCTGAAATGCACAATAAAACTGTAAGTCAGAGGTTTGGTTTACTTCTGGAGTCCTATTGTCGGGCATGTGGAATGTACCTAAAACATCTGAGCAGGCAGGTGGAGGCTATGGAGAAGTTGATTAACCTCACTGATATTCTCAAGCAGGAAAAAAAAGATGAGACCCAGAAGGTATTATGTCTGCATCCCTAGACTATTGCTGTTGAGTCACAGGAATTACTCTGAACTGTGTATTAATTGATTAACTAGAAAAGTATTAAAGATAACTTGAGTATATAGTATGTTATTCTAGAAGCTGCTATACTTTCTATGTGCATTGCCATTGTCTACCTCTTAAGGCAATAGATTTAAGGGTTTCAATTTGTATAGTATGTGGCCAAGTAGAGTTGCTTACACTGGAACTGCGCAAAACTATGCTTTAAAAGCAAAGCTAAAAATCTGAAACTTACTTTCGCTTACATATAATTAGTGTTATCAAAACCTGAATGTGATTATTTATCAGGTACAGATGAAGTTTCTTGTTGAACAAATGAGGCGGCCAGATTTTATGGATGCTTTACAGGGTTTTATCTCTCCTCTTAATCCTGCGCATCAACTGGGAAATCTTCGGTATTGTATTCAGTTTTTAATTTTATCTAGATATTTAAGTAAATGCTTAGTAATGTTAACATTAACAATATTAAATGTTAACATACTGAAAAATGCTAGTATCTTCAAGGTTCACTGAAAAATAATTGTAGCAGAATAACTCATGAAAAGTGGTGTAGATTCAGTCTAATGGTTTACCAATTTAGGGAACAACATGACAGCTGTTCCTTTAAGGTGACAGGAAGCACAGACCTTTTTCCATTTGTAAGGAACACACACTGCCAAAGGGAAATTACGATACAGCTGGCTCTTCTGTTGGGCTTAGCAAATGGGTAACGTTGCACTTATTAATTTAAGTTTGAAGCTGAAAGTAAAAGTGGTTGATTGTCAGTTACCCGTGCATCTTTAATTTGATACTATTTCAAAGAGTTTGATGAAAACAGGGAGAACTTAATGTTATGGAAATATTAAATGAAAATCTGTATGTGCCTGTTTCATAGAAATCTTACCTCCTTTTTTAGGCTTGAGGAGTGCAGGATAATGTCGTCTGCAAAAAGGCCACTGTGGTTGAACTGGGAAAACCCAGATATTATGTCTGAATTGTTATTTCAGAACAATGAGATAATCTTTAAAAATGGAGACGGTAAGGAAAAGCAAGTATAATCCAACAGCTACATATCTGTTTATTTTCCTAAGCTACTGTTCAGTATTTTTTGCTATGTATATAAAATGCGGGGGGGGGGAAGGAGGGGGAGGAAAGCAGTTTTCCAGAAAAATTAAGCATGTACAAGTAAGAGTTGTGCAAATTTTGTAGGTTCCAAGCTGCTCAGTCTGTTGAGGTGGAACATGGTTCTATTTCAATACTTTGTTCTTTTTACTTGAAAATGTCTTCCAGGATATTACAGAAGTGTAATCTGTCGTTCCATTGTCATGATTTTAGTGTATATTTTTTAAACAGCTTTGACATTGCCACCATAAATTTATATTCACTCTCAACTACTTAACACGTTTCTCTCTATTCAGAGAAAAAAAACTACACTGAACTCTGCAAGCCTCATTTCCTTTAGGCATACTTTGAGGGGAAAAGTTAAGATCTAACAAAGTGTTCTGGTGTTATAAAATTTGCATTCTCCGTGTATTTGCAAATCTTTATGTATTTGACTATTCCAGACTTGCGTCAGGACATGCTGACACTTCAGATAATTAGAATTATGGAAAACATCTGGCAAAATCAGGGTCTGGATCTTCGGTAAGTGTTAGAGGTCATTCTCAAGCAATACTGTTCTTAATGGGTTTTGCATTAGTTTGTTACCAGAGATTGCTTCTGTTTTCCCAAGGGTAATAAATGCTGTAAGTAGGCATGTTGTACATGTAAGAGCAATTTTCAATTTTTTTAGTGACCTTCAGTTAACTAAACTACTGAATTCTGTAGAGATAAGGTTGTATTTGAAAAATACTTGAGTCTCATTCAGGTGGGTGTGAGGGGTATACATACAGGAATGGATACAAGAACTAACACACACAGTAGCCAGGCTATGGTATGCTAATTTGTATGTGTAGGATTTGCTTTGAACAAGTTGCCAAACTTGCAGCCCAGTTGAGTGATGACTCTTTGTAGTGGGTATCTTCATTTCAGTACACAAAGTAGGTATTACCCAGTTTTGATACATGTACAGCTTCTCCACCTTTAAATAGTCTGTGAGTACAGTAACTTCTGCAGAATGCCATTCAGTATAAAATATTCTACTTCTAGAAAACTGATACTAGACAGGTTATGCTCCAAATTCACATTTGCTGTTTGGTAGATTTATTTTTTTTTAGGTGGTGGCATAATAGGGCTGCCTCTGCACTGTCAAACAAAGTATGTTCTTTGCACCCCCAGTTCTCATTTTCTCATTACCTAGATAAAAGAACCTACTGGTCTACATCATCTTTAATGTATCTGGGAAACTATTGTGCTCTAGTACTGTAATGAGGAACAGAATTATGGCTTTGTCTAAGAATGGTTTGCAGAGTGCCAGTTATGGAAACCTGCATAAATACATCTCTTGCACCTCTTGCCACCATTATTCTTTAAACAGGTGGCATGAAGGTCTAGAAGAGAAGTGGAATAAGCGTGATGTGACAGGCTGATTTAAAAAAAAATCAGAAAAATTGCAACTATCCATGTGCTGTACTGAAAGACTGAAATGAGCATGCAGCATGAGGCAGCTGATGGGCCCTGAATCTTGAGCAAGCTGCAGATTACACTAATGGACAAAAATAAAATCTTTTGATGATCTAGAAATTGCAACTTATCCCACTAAGGCCATTAAACTGTGTATCTCTATGGTACAGACAGTCTAACAGTCTTGAAGAAAATAGATGGGTTGCACTGTTTTCCTTTGGCTTTCAAATCAGATTTTTATCTAAAAATGCAAGTGTAATTAGGTATAAATGTTTTTGTAGTAACTGCAAGTAAAGTGCTGTTAATCCATAAAGGAGAAGCCCACCTCCACAGCAACACCAACAACCAGCTCTGCTACTGGCTGTGCATTGCAGTGGTGCCTCTTGGATTCTTAGGTCTAATACAAAGCCTTTTTTTTTTTTCCTGCCATGGCATCACTAAGAACCTGTGATACCCCAGTGTTCCTAAAAGGCTGGTTTACTCTATAGGTGTGACACTTTCACTCCAGAAAGGAAACTTTAGGAGAGAAAGAGGCTGCTTTTAGGTACATGACTGTCACTCCCAAATATTTTAACAGAGGATGTTGAACATGGTAATGGCCATGTTTCTTTCAGTCTTTGAACAAAGGACTGGTTTTGACTTATTTTTTGCAGATAAAGGGTTTTGAGCATAACAGAAGAAATACAAATTTTAAAGGAAGGGTGAGGAAAGAGACCTGTGAAAGACAAGGCAATGGAATTAATTTATTTTACTTGTAAAGAGAAAAATGGGCTACTCAGATCATAGAATCATAGAATCAACTAGGTTGAAAAAGACCTTTAAGATCACCAAGTCCAACTGTTACCCAGGAATGCCAAACCCACCACTAAACCATGTCACTAAGGGCAAACTTACCTCTCCCAAAGATCTCTTATGGCTGCCCCTCATGATACCAACTCACAGACATCTCTCATCTAGCCCCATTAGTGCCCCACAGTGTTTAGCTGCTGCCCTTACTCACCATGGCCACCCCTCACACCCCATGGCTGCCCCTGCTTCTCCCCTCATCATCTTTCCTCATGACTGCCCCTTACCCCTCATGGCCACCCCTCACTTCCCACAACTGCCCTTGCTCTCCCCTCACAATCTCCCCTCATGGCCGTCCCTCCTTTCCGCTCACAATCTCTCCTCATGGCCATCCCTTCTCTCCTCTTCTCCCCTCACAATCTCCCCTCATGGCTGCTGCTCCTCTCCCCTCATGATCTTCCCTGATGGCTGCCCCTCCTTTCCCTTCATGATCTTCCCTGATGGTTGCCCTTCCTCTCCCTTCATGATCTCCCCTCACCGCTGCCCTTCAGCCACCCTTCATCTCCCCTCATGTTCAGCAGTGTTTGAATTAATATCATCTTTTGAGTTTCACTTTGTAGTCCTGTGGATTGCAAAAAGTTGATTTTATGATTTTCTTTGAAGAGTCTATTAATAAATATCCATTTACAGTTCACTAACTTGTGGGTAACATCAGTCTTGTTGACTGTAGAGTCCAGTTTAGAATTTGTAATATGGTCAGATACTATTAAGAAACTCATTTTGAAGGTCCTGTGCTGGTTTTTTGTACAAAGTATTACCTGCTACTTGCTTACAGTAACCAATGGAATCTTAACAAATATTTTCTGAATGCATAGATTCTATCTCTAATAATTCACTTTGAATATCATTGAATTGATCTTATTAAATTATGCTGAATGCCTTTTAAAGGGTTTTTCCAGTGTATTCCCTAAGGCGTCCAGGAACACCTTACTAAACTTTTGCCTCAACCTTTTGTCCTGATATAAAACTGAAGAATGACATTGGTGGACACAGAGGTTGGCATGTTACTGTACTAATATCTGGTACATTTTTTCCACAAGACTAGTGTTAATACAGCTATAAAACATTAAAACAGGTTTTCATATCCTAAAGTAAGTGACAGGTGACACTTGATAAGGGTTATCAAACGTACCTGTTGCTTGCTGACTTAAAACTTAACTTTAAAAAAAAACCTTCATCTTTCAGGATGTTGCCTTATGGTTGTTTGTCTATTGGTGACTGTGTGGGACTCATTGAGGTAGTCAGGAGCTCTCATACCATCATGCAGATTCAGTGTAAAGGAGGCTTGAAAGGAGCATTGCAGTTCAACAGCCATACATTGCATCAGTGGCTCAAGGACAAGAACAAAGGAGAAATGTGAGATTTCCTGTTGCTTGTTTTTCTTGTTCATATGCTCTTTGATGGAAACTTCAAAAGAACTAAAGCTGATCAAGTGTGGAATTATGTCCATCTGGTTTTGGTTGGTTTATTTTCTTCCCCTCGCCTTGTTTCCCTAGGATTCCTGGTTGTAGCTCTTTTAATGGGTTCAGTTGTGTTACTTCTCTCAACGATAAAGCTTAAGTTGGAAGCAGAGCTATGAAGATACAGCTTAAGTCTCTATTTTAACACTAGCTCATCAAAATGAAAACTGCTGGACTTCAAAAGAGTCAATAGCTAATTTACTGTTCCATGATCTAACAGAGTACTACTGTTCTCAGAGTATGCTGAATTTCTGCCTTACTGTGATAAGGTCCAGAAGCTCTGCTTCATTGATAGAGGATAGTAGAAGTTGGCTTGTCCTTAATGGAGGGAGGGGAGGGGGAAATCTACACTTTTGTGTCTTTAGAACACCTGTATGAAAGTGTCTCCTGTTTTCAATAGGTATGATGCAGCTATTGACTTGTTTACACGTTCTTGTGCTGGCTACTGTGTTGCTACCTTTATACTGGGCATTGGTGATCGCCACAATAGTAACATCATGGTGAAAGATGATGGACAAGTAAGATATATTTTTCTAAAAATATAGCATAATGTCATATGTCACCTTGATATGAGGTGGTTTAAAAAAAAAAATCCATCTGATCAAGAAGTAAATGATCAATTTTACTCTGACATACTTTATACAAAGAATTACTAATCTTAAAATACCTTTCTGTTTTTCCAAGCTGTTTCACATTGACTTTGGGCACTTCCTGGATCACAAGAAGAAAAAATTTGGTTATAAAAGGGAGCGTGTGCCATTTGTCTTAACACAGGACTTCTTAATAGTGATTAGTAAAGGAGCCCAAGAATGCACTAAAACAAGGGAGTTTGAAAGGTGAGCCTTTGCAGCATTTAACTTCCAGAGTATTTTGTACCTAAATTACCTACTTTAGTACATTTTACCTTTAATTATTAGACCTTTTAACTGAAAAGTAGTATTTTAATTGGCTTGCAGCGAGAATGTTCTATTCCTGTAGCTGAAGATCAGTCCATTTAATCACTCAGTAGGTGATAGCTCGTATATGGGCTTGGGTTCATGAAACCTCACTTTAGTTTTGCAGGATCAGCACATATGTGAATAAAGATAAATTTTTTAATATCTGAAATTCTTTTGATAACACTTAAAATCCTCTTAGCATTGCGTAACTGCAAAACACGTATTCTTAAATATCAGGTGTAATGTGCATCAGAGGCTTGCTGGTTACTCAGCAATGGTTCTCTCTCCTATAGCTGCTGTGATATCAGCTCTTCAGCTAGCCTGTGTAGTTTACGACATTCTGCAGAACCTGCTAAGAAAAGATAACTTTAAAATAATAAAGTCATTCTTAATATGTGTCTTTCCAGAGACCTAGTCTTTGAGAGGTTTCAATTTTAATCTTAATTTCATTATTGGACAGAGACAGATTTTAAGTTATAGTGTCCGTCTCAATGCTGCAGTGAAGATTTTTTGCTTTTTCCTTAACCTGACTTAAATTAGTGGTTTCAGCATAAATGTGCATTTCTCACCCAATGTTGTGATACAGCAAATTCCCCTGTCTTCAGTGCCTTCTCTGCAGTATCTAAGGAGCAACAGCTACTGCCCTTTTAAAACTACAGGAGAAGTGCATCTCTGATACACAGCTGCAAAAAATGCTTTCCTGGTTATCAGGAAATGTGCTTTGAAATCTGAAATACCAGTAGCAATGAGTGAAATGGCTGTGTGAACACCCATAAACTTGTGTTAAATGCTTGCATGAATTGCAAATGAGTTTTAAGGCTAGAAAGCCTGTCTTCAGTCTGGCTATTGTGTTAGTCTGACCACTACTAATTCTTACTGAAATTAAGATAAACCTAAGTAGGAAGATGAGTATATTTTCTCAGCAACATTATAGTGTTCTTATTGGACTGTCTACTTCTTTAGTGTCCAGTTACCTGAAAACTGTTTTGGAAGTGAAAAAGTAATATACATCTAACAGGGAAATACACTGACTTTTTTTCCTCTATCTCTTCCAGGTTCCAGGAGATGTGTTACAAGGCTTATCTAGCAATTCGGCAGCATGCCAATCTCTTCATAAATCTTTTCTCCATGATGCTTGGCTCAGGAATGCCAGAACTGCAGTCCTTTGATGATATTGCATACATTCGAAAGACCCTTGCATTGGACAAAACTGAGCAGGAAGCTCTGGAGTACTTCATGAAGCAAATGAATGATGCTCACCATGGTGGCTGGACAACAAAAATGGACTGGATCTTTCACACAATAAAACAACATGCTTTGAACTGAAATGAAAGCAAAGAAAACAAGAACTGATAGCCCACTTTGTGGGTACTGCACTGTTAATACCCATTAGCAGCAAAGACTGGTTGCATAGGAATTGCACAAACCGTGAAGAACATCTGAATTTATGGCAAGAAAAGAGATGAACTGCTCAGACAACTGTTGAAAAATAATGTAAAACAGGGTTTCAGATAGCACTAAAATTGTACACTTCAAAAATTAAGCTTTAGTATGATGTGTGACTTCATGTTATGCCTTAAGCCCAAAAAGGTAAACTTGGAAGAACGTTTCCTTTTTTCACTTGATAGGATAAATTAGAAGGAGAAAGAAAATAGTTCTAGCATGAACATAGAGTCCATCACATATTACCTTAGATCTGGTACAACTGGTAGAGCCTATGCTGGATTGACGAGTGGAAAGAGAATTCAAGTGATAGCAAATATTTAAAATCAGCATAGGTTGAATGAAAGGAGTCTTAAGCTCAAAGATCTAAAAACAATAGTGAGAGGACAGTGCCTTTTAAATGTGCTCAGAGGCATTAACAGTTATGGGGTTTGGATGACCCTTTGATTTCTGGGTCTGTCACATGCACAGTTTCTGAAAGCAGTAGGAAGTAGGCCCACTTGGTATGGTGTTTCTTCTGCTCAGTATTTCTAGAGGTGCAATTCATACCTTCACAAAGAAACTCCCTGTCATCCCCCAAAACTGACTAACCTGGAAATTGAATGGTCAAATTGGGTTTAGTGCAACAGAGAGTTGTATTGTTCATCTTAGGTTTGGTTTAATCTAACTTGAACTGAATAGATTTTTTTCATACATGTTTTCCAGAACCTAAAGAAAGGTGAGTTATTAAAATTATTGAAAGATTATTTTTTTATAAAGGCTATTTATATAACAGGAACTATTATTAATATATATTCTTTATTTACATGATTTGTCCAATATTCACTCTTTTAATTTTGCAGCCCAGTTCTATCTGTCCAAGGCTCCCGTTTCCATTAATGTCACTGAAGGTGACCAGATATACTCCTAGGACCAAATTCAACCCTGGTGAAAGAGGACACAAGTACCATTAAAGTAGTGGGACATACACCCACTAATGCCAGAGGTGAACTTGGCCTAAGTCTCTTCAAAAATTTTTGGGCATCACTCTTCACATTACTGAAGTGATATGCTGGCTATTCAAGGAACGTACATTTAAGCCCTCAGTCTTTGGGTCCACCATTTCTCCTCTTTCTTCTTCCTTTGGAAGTGGTTGTTTAATCCAGATAACATCAGTAACAGATACATCAGAAAGAGAAATTTAGGTTTTTCAATATGATCAGTAATAAGCAGTTCAACATACAGCAGATGCGTTGGCTAGCTCAAAGCATGTGGAGTTACCAAACATTTTATAGCTTTGTCTGTTTTGTGTGTGTGTGTAATATATATTTGTAAATGTAGTTGTTGTCCTCTAACACAATACAATGTGTGCAATCAGTTAAATTGGCACCGCTTTTTGAAACTGTTCAGAAGTACTGAGGATTTCAGATTGCCCTTATGCACAGCTTCAGGTAGGAGTGTTTCTATTAAACAGGTTTTTTAATTAGTGAAACCCACAGTTCTGAGGGTGATGTTCACCCTAATATTTTAACTGGCTAGAATTGCAGCACTTGGAGTGAATTGCAAAGGTCTGGGGTTTTCGGGGGTTCAGCTAGTTCACTGGCAAACATGCACCAGGGCACCACTCAGAAAGTGCAATACCCCATGTGATATAAAATATGCTGACAGTTGGTGTTAGATTAGAATATAAGTATATAAATAAACTGTGCAGGCTGTACTGATGAGGGAATGAGTGGTTGGCTTGATTTAGAAAATTGTAATATATTAAAAATGTGCAATCAGTTACATTATGAAAGACTTCGGGGATTGTAAAGCGAAGACTTTGGTCTTTCAAGACACTTTCAAAGTCAAGATCCTGCAGTCGATTACTGCACACACGGATACTTGATGCTGGGGGGGGAAACCTGTTTTTGTGAAAACTACAGAAGTTCCAAGAATAGTACAGGGAATGTGAAGTTGCATTTCCTTAGTTCTCCTGAATATTTTGGAGTAGTCCAGTACTCTTTTTATTGACTGTTACATCATCCTTTTTGTTCATATGAATATTTTAATGCCTGCTGACCTTGGTCTTACTTTCTAGAGCAAAATTACCCTTGTATGTATTGCTTAGCAGTCAACACACTCTGAAGGTTCAGCTCTCTTAAAATATGGCTTGGATTCAATTTAAATTTAGCTCACAATCTGAAACCCTGTTAGCTATAACTCTTAATTTAACTGAGTGAAACTGTTGCACAAATGCCACATTAGGTGCTATATTATCCTTATTTATCTGGTATTGAAACAATGCTTTACCTCATTTATCTAAGAGATGGTCAGCTTTTTCCAGCCTGAATGAATTTATTGGATGAGCCCAACTTCTTTTGTACTTTGTTCCTTCCTAGCCATTTATTTCTGTAAATATTAACTATAGATGTCTTTCAGTTCAAGCACAGTGTTCTTTTTGCATGAGCAGAA